ATGGAAATGCCTAAAAATTAGAAATAGCATAAAATGGTATCTATCAACACGTAGGTAAAGGACATGTTTAAAATATTCTCAAGGCCATTTCATAACGATACCTTTAAACTGATAACCTTTTGCAGAATAAAACAAAGATTACATGTTAGTAATATTAATATTGACACTGAATCATATTTTTCATAGCAACAAATATATTTTTGTAACAAAGGAGTGGAAAATTTAGCAAAGAGATAGCAAACTGCTGTGACTATTCAGGACCGTACTCAATTAATAACAATAGTTTGGATTTTCTAATATTGAAAAGTATATAATACCAATTGCCTGGCTTCCATTACATACCTTGGCCAGTTGTTTAGCTAGTTTAAATTTCACTTCAGTTTTGTGTCTTCCTTCTGAAAAAAATGCATTGTTCCGATTTAAGGGATAACAAAATAATCTGTTCTATTTTATGAGAAGGAATCAATATATTTAGGCCATTTTCCTCAGAAAGTTAAAAAGTGCTTATCTTTTTTTAAAAAAAGGTAAGTCTTTATAGCATTTTCTAATGGTTTCAGAGTATGAATGCGGCCAGATTATTAGATATATCAAAAATGAAAAACTGATGCCATAGAGAAGATCTAAATTATGATGAAAGTAAAATTAATGAGCCAATGCTGAATATGGCTGGATTACAATGAGTAGCAGGAATGAAAAATGGATAATGTGAAAGAGGTTTAAAATGTAAATTATAATGTGAATTAACTTGTGAGTGAGTAAATGTCAATGTAAATGACTATGGAAATCAAATTTATTTGCCAAGATCATATCATTTGTTTAAGATAAATAACAAATTTAAGGGTAAACAGAAACAACTCTTAATCTTCAGAGCCTATCAAATACTGTCTTCAAATGTTTAGGAATAGCTATAAAATTGTTACAACAGCAGGAAAGCTTTCATTCGGTTTAATTTCTTAAGCTTAAAAGGAATTCAAAACATGGGCAGATTAACACAATCTGATTTTAACAGAAAACAGTTTTTAACCGATTTTATCATATTAACACTCTGCACTGATTATGATATACATGGCCTCTAGAAGAGCTAGACATATTTATCTTCTTCAAAATGCGTTTCCTCACAAATAAATTCTGTTCATCATTTTCTGAAGATCTTTTCTATAACAACATTTGAAAAATTTAGTAATAATCTGATCTGAAGGGTGAATGAAGTTGTATTTGCAGGAAGCGACACTAATAGTTCTGTTACCAGGAAAGAAATTTGTTTATATAATTATTTTACACACATTTATTTGTAACCAATTTCTAAGATTTAAAAAAAGGGAGGCATAATACTAAACAGTACAATCAAGTAAGTGCGTAAAATTTTAGTTTAATAAAAGTTAATATTCATCAACTGTGAAATAGGAAAGGACTTATAACAGAATGTAAATCATCAGCCACAGAACATCTTATAAAAGTAAACATAGTCGGCAAGTGTTAAAAATATATACAAAGTAAGATACTAAAAAACACAAAACAAAATAACTCTAAGAAAAAATTGTAAATCAAACATCATAGAGAAATACACAAATTTATGTTTAATAAAAACAAAGAAATGTTTATTACATTTATGAAATTAATAACCGTATTCCATTATTTGAATAAAACAGGCCAAGGTTTCATCTACAAAATGAAAAAGATATAAATAATGAAGCCAGAGATCCAATTTACATAAAATAGAAAATTTTACACTATAACTAATTCAAAGTAAATAAATGGAAAGTAAGAAAGTGCTTATATTGCAACATGTTTTCATCTTCCATATCAACTAATCAATTATCACAATTCAAAATACTGTAAACTATCTCTAAAAGGACCACTAACAGTTCCATATCTTATATTTCTCTGGAAGTGGTCATTTTAGAAGGGTCAAGTTCAAACAAAATCAATGTTGAAAGTCTCAGAGATACTGATTACTCTCAGAGAATAGTTATGGTTTCCACAAGAAATTTCACTGTGTATATGAATCAAAACAGAGCATATATATGATACATGGAAAAAAATACCGCAATTCTTTAACCACCCTTTAATAAATGAAATCAAAATTATATAAATTAGGCTAGGAATTCTTAGGTGAAAATAATAAAAGCATGCACTTACCCCAATAAATAATCAGTTATACACATATCTACATAAAAGAACTAAATTGTCTATTAAGGAAAATCTACACATAACTGTATATATGAAAGACGCACTTCAGCACTATTTATTATTAAATATATGAAAATGTATTCCAAAATAGCTATTTATATGATGTGACCAATATCCATATATAAGTTATATTCATTTGCATATATTACCGGGCTTATCATTACATTTAATAATAATATATCACAGTTCATTCCAATCATTGCTACAATAAATTCAATAATATTTGTATCAAGAAAACAATTTTCACAGTCATATTAAAAAATAACATTAAATTATGTTTTCCCGAGGTAAGCAATCTTCAATAATATCATAGCCTACAGAGTATGAGAAACCTATTTTCATTTATTTGACTTAAGTAAGTTAATCTGTTCTCTTCTATAGACTGTGAGCAGTAACGAGGTAATTTTTGAGCTTATCCAGTTACAGAACATACTGACATGTACACAGCAGGTAAATAAACTCGGAATAAAAAAATAAATAAAAAAAATTATGCATGGGAAATTGGCAACATAAAATTCAATAGAATGGCTGCAGGCTCAATTTTCCAGGGCTGCAAGTTTCAGACCAATGTTATACAACACTTAATACCATGATCGGTAAAACTTCAATCATTTTTCTTTTATTTGAAGAACCAGTAATTACCATAAACTTTAAAAATACAGTCAGTGAAATTGCATAAATCATATACAGTACAAAGTTTGTAATCCAGATGTCCATTATCCGGAATGATCTATAATCCGGACCTCAAAGCCACAAACTTATGCATGCGCATTTAATGCGCACGTCCACTACACATGCTTGTAAAGCCAGTAAAGCGACACATGTGCGCTTCCGATAGTGAAGAAAGTGGCAGAGAGGTTATTGAAAACGAAAAAATTTCGATTGACAAGTTAGTCGGTATTCTCGACACAGCAATTACAGGATTTGAAGAGTGGAACTTTGTAACTGAACACAAAATTTTGTCTGTTTATAGAAGAGATAATTAAAGAGAAAGTATTAGCACAAAAAAACGAAGCAACTTAAACAACTTACATTGAAAGAAATGCTTAATAAAAAAACAAATAAATATTAAGCTTTTTTTTTTTTTTTTTTTTGTAAATTTTGATACCCTTTAGATCATAATTACTCTTTATTTCATAAATTACAGTTTCACATTTTTAATTGTATAATTTCTGCATTCCATCTTACCAGATTTAATTTGATTATCTATAATCCGGAAAAACAACTAATCCAGAATTGCCGAAGTCCCGACGAGTCCAGATTACGGACTTTGTACTGTATATGTACTATATATCACACTACATATGGACAATAAGGAATGCATGAAATTCATGTAGTCATTCAAAATGCTAATACTGATTCTCAGAAAACAACTAAAGTAAACTGTTACAAAAACATACCTTTTATAAAAATATATATATACATATATAAACTGAATTTAAATTTCAAGAAAACTTGTACTCTCACATGAGTATTTACATGCTTCAAAAATAATAATAAGTACAGAACATCACAGAAAGAGCTGATGAACATGTTCTTTTTTAAATGACAAGATATTTGAAGTTCTACATAAAACAAAGAAAAATAATACAAAACATAATTATAAAACTTTATATAATAAAAATATTTCATAAAAGCATCATCATAAAAAATATATTTTTAATATTTAGATACAGATTATATATATTTGAATTTAACAAATATTCTCTATTATATAAAGCCAATTTAAATTTTAAACTATGAAAATTCGATTGTATACAAATAAAACATTAATTATTGCTATGAATTAATTTGCAATATTGTTTAAATTCAGAGAGCATATGTAAATTATGTGCAAGTATCTAATAACATTATAAAATATTTAATAATCCAAAAATTAATCCTAAAACTGTTTTAAAATTTTGTAAGACTAAATTAATTGCATAAAGCGAATAATTGCTGAGCAGGCAGGAGACAGATCATTTCAAGGGGAAGTTGCCTCCAAGCCAAACTCTCCAATTATTCAATTCGTGTTTTTCATCCATATAGGAATGGGTAAATTATTCAAAACCAAAAGTAGTGAATTGCTAAAATAAGAAATTTAATTATAACAGAATTTTGAAAAATTTAGTAAGCAAATCGACTATGAAACATTTTTTTAATTTAAACTACATTGCTAATGTAATTAAGGGTATAAATCCAAAGTAATTTAGAAACCCTTTGCCTATTCTGGAATTTCCCCAACACGAATTATGCATGTAAACCAAAATAAACTAAATACAATCTATAAAAATACAAAAATAATACAAAAATTAGTTTCTTATGAAACAATTTATATATATATATATGTTACCGTGAAAGACCGAAATTGGAGAATGTCGACTTTCACCGGAGAATGTCAACATTCACCAAATACATCGGTGAAAGATCGAATATTGCATTGCATTCTTGTACATTCGGACCCTCACCGATGTATGTCAAAATTCACAGATATGCTCCGGTGTAGGTCGAAAAGAGAGGAGTATATATACACGTTGTCATTACAAAAGGAAGTGTTCCACAAATAAATGCAGTTGTAAAAGCAAGGGTCTCTTGTGCAATTTAAAGTGTCATAAAAGTTGTTGCAATAAAAAGATTTGAATCACATAATTTAGTAAGTTTTTAACTTTTATTATTTTCCTTTCTCATTTTGAATGTGCTGTGTGTTTTAAGTTCTTATGTTCTTAAGTTCTTATTTTAAGTCTCAAGTGCGTTTTTTCGTCACTGAATTACAGAGAAGAAAATATAATATTCCTATATACTCAACATTCACCATTAGTACATAGTGAATGTCGACATTTACCGGTGTAAGTCAGAAATAAGAGTATTTGGAAACTATTTCGGACATACACCAAGCGACTATGTTAATGTTGACATTCTCCAGATTTCGGTGTTTCACCGTAACATATACATTACAAAGTCAAACAATCACATAAATATACATTATGAAGTGAAACAATCGTATGAATATATATATATATATATATTACACAGTGAAACAATCATATGAATATATATATATATATATATATATATATATATATTACAAAGTGAAACAATCATATGAAAATACAAAAGTAGCATTTAAAAATACAGCATGAAATTTTTACACTTGCGTATGTTTTTGCTTTGAAAGAGTAGTTTCAGGATAGTACCTATTTCCAGGATCTACTCGCTTCATACTAAAAAAGAAAAAAGATTGTCATAAGATTACAGAAGGAACTTTTCCTTTCAATTAAAAAAATAAAATCAAAAAGATTCCATAAAATTAGCTGATTGAAGTATTAAAAAAGTTTGTTACAATGAAATCCATTTCATAACTAATTTACACTGTTAAACAATGAAGCATAGCTTATTGAATATATTAATGTTAAATAACACAAGCATAGCTTATTGGATGTATTAACGTTAAATTATACAAGCATAGCTTATTGAATGTATTTTTGTTAAAAATCATCTGTTTATACACCATCTCTCTTTAAACATTTTCATTATTATTAAACTGAAATTAGGCTAAACGTAATCATTTAAATATTACCTACTTTGATACTGAATATTTAACTTTCCTAAATATTATTTACTTTGTTAGTTATTAAAACTGTCGATCACATAAATGCTTTTTAGAATAGCTAGTCTTTGTTTCCCCGGTGGTATTTTAACATTAACGAAAAAAAAAAAAAAGTTTTGCCTGATTTTAAATTATTATATTTCTATATTCAGCTGCATGCCTTTAATTTTAAATCAAAGGCTATATATTTCTTCCTAATGCTTATAATTTTAATTAACATTAGATTTGTAAATTGTATGCAAAATGCATAGACAAGCTAAGTATCATAGGTTAAAGAGCTTGGATTTCAGTGCAAACTACACAAAGAATAGGAAGCACAAGTCCAAAACATAACTTCTACATGCATTGCAAAATAGAAAATAAATAAATAAATTTGGAACTCAATGCAACATTCATTGATCACAGTAAACTATAACAGGGGTAAGCAATTTTCTTTTAGAATGGACCAACAGCAAATTAAAAAATTTTATGCAGGCCAGATACAAAAACACATTAAACTATCAAAACTAGATGACAAACACAAATTATCTTTTCACTAACAAAATAACATTATAAAAAATAACAGAAATAAATATATAAGAGCAACATCATATAACAGAAATACAGTGAAAATCCAGAAATCCGCAAAGCTTGGGACCAGAGGTTGTGCGGATTTTAGGATTTTGCAGATTTCAGGACAGAAAAGATAAAGCATAATATTCAGACTAAAAGTGCAAAATAAATAAGGCATATTAGATACATTTAATTAAATTTTCAGACCCTAAGTTGTATCAAGAAGAAAAGCAAAACCACACATCCCTTCTTTATCATTGAATATGGAAAGTACATATTCTTTCACTTCCACAAACTGATTTTTCACTTTTTAAATTACATACTCTTTTTAGCATAGCACCTCTAGTCAACCAGTATACTTCTACATTTTACATTATGTCACCATATTCACTTTCCAAATCTTTTAAAATATTATTTTTAATTGGCAGTGATTTAATACTCCAGATTTGAGAAAATTAGTAAGCAAGTTTTGTTACAGACATGGAGACATTTGACATCTTTACAGTTTTAGTGCAAAGATTATGTTCTTGAATCATGCAAAGACTAGCAAATATTTCTTTCCCTGGTTAAGTTTTTAACCCGTTCGGTACAGGTGTGTCATATCTGCATCAGTAGCGAACATTACCTCACGGCCGGGTGTGTCATATTTGAATCACCATTTAATTCACTCTACCGGGCGGGAGCACCACATTTGACATTTTAAATAGAACATTTAATTAATATTTTTTGTTGGCGCTAGATGTAGATGTATGCCTGTTATGTGGAAATGTATCGAAAGTTAAGTATATTTACCTTCATTCCTATGCAATGATTTTTATTTTTGGTATTTTGTTTCGGAATGAGAGTGAGATTCATGGGTGGGTGTTGAGCAATGTAATGTCTCTTTAACTGCGTAATTTGATATAAACGAGCGCTCGCTGCATTGAGGTACTTTTTATTTTTATTTTTGCGATATACTGGGATAGACGTTCTATCATTAGAGTTTTTTTTATTACTCTTATATTTTTCCTTTTTTTATATTACTCTTAGATTTTTTATGATTATTTTTAATCGTCAGCGAAACATATCTTTTTTTAATGGCAAACGAAAACAGTAACTAAACATAGACTATACACAATCGCTAATTCGTTGGTGTTGAGTATTGTAATGGTTCTTACTGCGTCATTTTGTATAAACAAATGAACATATTCTCGATGGTCTGGAATACTTTTAATTTAATTTATTAATTTTTCTTATTTTTAATTTATTTTGTTATCGGTTATAGTGGAGTAGATGTTCTATCGTTAGAGACTTTTTTATTATTCTTTGAGTTTTCCAGCATTGAGACGATTATTTTGTATCGCTTAGCGAAAGTTTTTTTTTAACGGCAAAACGAAAGCACTATCTGACCGTAGAACATATACAAATGCTAAATGAGTCAAATTTGCTGAGTAAAATAGCAGCAGATATTATATTCCTGTGACTAATGCAATGTTGGACTTTGCATACACCCAAGTTTAAAAGAATATCATACACTATCTGATTTTGAAACACTGCTTACTTTTCGTTGTTTCCTCGTTAAATTTTTATGAAAAACAGTTTTAATATTTTTTAATTCTAATTATGCGCTGTGTGTTAAATAAAATCTGCAATTGCTTAGATATTTTTCCATATATATTTAATTGTGGGATAAAGGGAAAATTATATTATTCTAGAATGACTATTTTATAAAATTTTTAAGGAAAATATAACAATAAAGGTTTAAAATTAATTCTGACAACTACCTGAATGTTCTTCTCATAATGTACCAAAAATTGGAACAATTGGATGACAAATTAAATTTATACGAATTTTTTTCCAAAGTTAGGCTTAGCAGCATAAACTGCCCGCCCCCACAGGATGACACATCCGGTTAACACGCCGTCCCAAGAGAACGCTTTGGTAACAAAGGTACCCATCGCGAACAGGTTAATATCATTAAATAACACTCTGTGATTCCTACATTCATGCTTGCCATTGCCCATTCTCAATCAGTTGATATACCATTGATCTTTTCACCTGGAATTCATAATTTCTTCTACAGTGATTTTAGTTCAGTGTACAGGTCTTTGCTGTAGCTCCATTGACATCAAAGGACACAGGTCTTGAGGTATATTAAGACTGGAATCGATTCCTTCTAAAAATAGTACTACAGACAAAAGTCGTTAATTCGGACACCCATAATCCGGAATGATCTATAATCCGGACCTCAAAGCTAAAAACTTTCTGCGCATGCGCCGCGTTGGTACATGCGCACAGGCGTTTTACGCGTGCGTGTAAGACCTTGACTACTGCGCATATGCGTGTGCGCAAGTGCAAAATACGTTTTTGCCTGCGCGTTTAATGTATAACGGACGGTGTAAGCTAAAATTATCTAATTCACTTAATGTTAATGATTGCGTTGCTTCTTAATCTTCGAATTGGGTCCCGCTTATTATTTTTTGCAGACTGTAAGAGCAATTTTATAAAAGTAAACTTGAACTTTCGATTATGTCAAATAGAATTTCGGATGCTGGAACTTCCAAAGGATCTACAAAACGAAAGTATGTTTCGATGTCCAACAAACAAAAAGTGGAATTGCTGCAAAAAATGGATAAAGACATGAAGAATGTGACAGAGAGGTTAGTGAAACCGAAAAAATTTCGATTGACAAGTTAGTCGGTATTCTCGGCACAGCAATTAACGGGACTTGAACAGCAGAACTTTGTAACTGAACAAGAAATTATGTCTGTTTATAGAATTAAAGAGAAAGTATTATCACATAAAATGAAGCAACTTAAACAACTTACATTGAAAGAAATGTTTAATAAAGTAAACAAATAAATATTAAGCTTTTTTTTTTTGTAAATTTTGATACCCTTTAGATCATAATTGTTCTTTATTTCATAAATTATGGTTTCATATTTTTAATTTTAGAATTTATGCATGCCATCTTACGAGATTTAAACTGATGATCTATAATCCGGAAAAATCGATAATATGGAATCGCCGAAGTCCCGACGAGTCCGGATTAACGACTTTTGACTGTAGTTGTGTTGCATCACTGATGTCACAGCTCTCATTAAGTGCCAAAGAACACCATTCAAATTTTTCAATGTATTCATCTACAGATAAAGTAATATTTTTTGGATAGGTCTTAAGATCTTGCAAATGTAAATCTTTTTTTGGAAATGTCTTTTTTATCACAAAATGATATTTCTGCAAAAGTAGTTAAATTCCATTTAAAATTCATTCCTTTTAAAAGTTTGTTTTAAGTTCCTTTAAAATTCCCAGTTCGATTCCTTAAAAATAGTGCTAGTTGTGTAGCGTCACTGATGTCACGGCTCTCAAGTGACAAGGAACCAATCAAATTTTTCAATGCATTCACCTAAAGTTGTAGTAATATTTTTTGGATTTGTCTTAAGATCTTGCAACTGTAAATCTTGACGAACTAATTTTGGAAATATACTTTTTTATCAAGAAAAGATATTTCTGCAACAGTAGTTAAACATTCCTTCAGCAAATGGTTTCATTATTTTGTCTAAAATTTGACCATGTAACTAAAAAATAAAAACAGTTTAACTAGCATTCACTGTAAAATTAGATGAAAAACTTTGAACTTTAAATTTATTTTGTTGTATTACACTTTTCTCCAATTCATTCCAACATTTGGCCTTGGAAGTTTTTACAACTTGTGTCAAGTTTCATCTCATAATGCTGCTTAATACTATATTCTTTTAATGCAGATACTGAGTCTGAGTATAAAAGGCAAACAGAGAGTTTTGACAGAAGTGGGGGAAAAAAATTCAATTTCCATTGGTCATTCAAATTTCTGTTTTCAACACTAACATTTTTTTCATGTTTGTTTTGAGAATAAATTTTTAACTGTAAAGAATAGGGTAAGTGTTAATAAAAAACATAACAAAATTTAATTTTTAGCTGATGAAATTAGTTCTTAGATTTAAAAATACTGCTTCCATTTTTAAAATAATGACTCACTGACAAAGGACAAATATAGTCAACCCAAAATATGCACACACAAAGGTTCTATGATTTGTGAAAAAAACTTTTAATTAACCTTAAATACTATCATATAACTAGCAGTTTGTATAATTGTGAAGGACTGTCAATATACCCTTGAGAGTAACTTGCTGGCTCTTTAAGTAAAATAAGCAAACAAAAACAACTTAGTCTGATTGGTGTGCATGGATAAAAAAGAGATATTACATACTATTTCTATGACAAATTAGTCTCTTCTCAGTGGTGTCTGGTGATAGTCCATGTATAATATGCAATGACTGCCGTTTTTATGATGGGTGCTTCAAATCCAATTCTTGCTAAGGTATTTGCATAAATATTTGTGATAATTCATGGAAAATCAGATGGTTGACTCACCATGAAGGGTGATTAGCTTGATGTGGAAATCTCACAACTCTTGCGATTTGCACGGGCAGTACAAAAACTACAGTTAATGGAGTATCAATCACCGAAGATGAGGCATAGGCTCAGATGATGCAATCTGCCGTCAGCAGGTCATGCATTCTATTGCATGCAATGCGAACGGAAGATACACAGACTTTGATCTGTTATTAGTGAGACTGTTATCAGCTATGACACAATTGGTGAAGAATAACATAATTTTTAGAATAACTTGTCAATTAATAAAATTTGATTTTAAACACCCACCAGTGTTTCTTTTCTGAATACACAAACTCAACACTCCGTTGAGCTCATGCTTTAACGGGCCACATAGAGCCCACAGACTGCTCAACCCCGGACTAGAACATATAAAAGACTGGAACCTTCAACATCTCATGATATGCTTGAATTCTAACACTATTTACTCACACTAAATTACATGAAATATACAGCAACTTTTTCTTCTTCTTCTTCTTTTTTTTTTTTTTTTTTTTAGTTTCGCACTAATTGCTGTTACAGAACATTAAGTCATAAATTTTAAATAACTCACTTTAAGAGAGTATCAATAGATGAAGGTGTCATTGATACAGCATCTGGAATATCTTCAGTACTTACAACATGTTTACTGAAAAAATGATGTTTCTATTAGATTAATGAAATAAAAGTAACAAAAATAGCATAAACTTTTTAAGAGGACTCGATTTTAAAACAGAAAATGCTTTAATGAAGTTAAATACTAATTTTCATTTCTAAAACTTCTAATAACAAGCAATAATTTAAAAGTTTCAGATACTTGGAAAAAAATGGCCAATTTAATATGTTTCTTTTATTCTTGAGAAGCATATTCCTAATAATATAATTTACACACATCATAACGGGTGCAAACTGCACACCTATCTTGATCACACATTGGTTTATTCTACAGCTTATAATATTATAATTTGTAAAAGAGAGGTAAACATTGACATGCTAGCAGGACACCAAACAAAAGCAGGAATGTGACTTATCCAAGATGAAAGTTAACAGTGACTTGAGTTATGGTTTCCAAATTATTAACGAAACATTTTGGTTGCACTGAAGTGTATGCATGCACCATTAATAAAATGGAAGAATCATGTGACATGGGATAATTTTAAAATGATGCAATTTAGATAGATTTATTACAAGAGTTACTATTTTTCAGACAGAAGGAGGAAATACATAAATGAACTAAAATGAAGAGTTAAGGAACTACTGCAAATTAATGGCAGAATTTTTATTTACGTATTTTTTTATTTTGCATATCCTCCTCTGTAAAGATTAAAAGGTTTAGTGACAGAAAAGCTTTTTTGGGAAAAAACATTAAAACATTGGCAGATTAAAAACATTACAACATACACAGCTCTAACAGATGACAAAAATGTGAAAGTGAAAGATTTTCATCAAGGACAAGGTTTCATCCCTATGCCCCATCATTTCATTATTTAAATTTCTTATAACAGAATTAAATTTTATATGTGTAATATATTACACATATAAAAATGGAAAATTACAATTGATACTTATATGGCATTATACAATATACAAAACACTTGTTTAACTCAAAGGTATTATCAGTTTTTCTCTGGAAATATAAGCTGTCTGAAATTTTGGAGTCCCAAATTTTTCAAGAAATAATTATAAAAGCTCAAAGTTCTTGAAAAATCCTGGCGTGAATATCATTACATAACTTTTAAAATCCTCTTGTAATTAATTATTTTATAAAATTGTTGTATTCAATACGAAACCTAAAAACTTTGCTTTACATAGTCATCAACTTATATTAAAATAGTTATTTATTCATAAAGCCACTGACATCTTTTATAATAAAGCAATCATTAATTGCAAATTATGCAAAAATTACACCCCATTAACAAATTTACTTAAAAAAGACACACCATGCTTTTGGACACTTGAAAGTAAAACAGTTTTCAAAATTTAAAGAAGACTTTAAATTTTAAAGGCATTTTCACAAAATTTAATCTAAACTATCCTTGTCATGTGTGCATTAGATGCTCTAAAGATGCTACTGGTGCAGTTTTTAAATAATAACATTCAGATGGTACCTTAAACCTAACAGCATTATATTCTTGTATATACTCAAGTTGTTATACATATATATTTTTAATTCAGAAGGAAAAAAATATATATATATGTAATATATAATATTTTAAATCCTAACAAAACCTTAAAATAAGAAAACAGATTCCATCATATGGTAATACTTATAATATTTTAATCTGCAGTAATTAATTTTAATTTTAGGTAATTCATTTTTTTTTTTTTTTTCTACTTTTACTTCTACTTTTTATCACTTGTTTCAAATTCTGAATATATACTCCAACGAAAATTTGTAATTTTTCGTAGAATATTTATATTTTAAAATGCATGATATACGATTTGGGGATGATTAAAAAAGGATGAAAGAATGGCATTGTTGAAATCATGCGAAAAACAATTATAAGCTGCATCCTATCCTTTTTGTTTCAATAGCATCCCCATAGCATGCATAAACCTTATTATCAACAATCTATACCTGTCAAGAATTGATTTACAAAAGTAGCATCAGCTAATTTAATGAAGATTACATCTTTAATTATCTTTTCTAGATATATCTTACTGTTAAAAAAGGTAATTACATTTTTCTTTTCTCAGTTTTAAAATTTTCTCTTCTATAATTTGGATTGTAATCTAAAAAAGCAGAACTAGAACCAAGAATGAAAAAAAGGTACTTTTGAAAAAAATTAGCAGCACAAAATAAAACCACAATGAGAAGGAATTCAGAATTACACAAAGTAGCTAAATAAATACACAGAAAATTTAAACAAATTAAATTTAAATTTTAACAAACACGTATATAAGTTAAAAAGCAAATTTAAAGCCAAAATTAAAAAAACCAAATTTAAAGCCAAAAAATAAATGAATAAATAAATAAAAAATTAAAAAAAATGTTTAAACATATAAAAGATTTAAAAGATTTAATTCTCGAACTAATCTACAATATCATTTAAATTCAGAAGCATAAGCAAATCAAGTGGAAAACCAATCCATGAAAATAAAGTCACTAATTTAGCAAATTAAAATTAATCCAAACAATTTTTTTTTAAATGCATAAGTGAATGATTGTTGAGCAGGCAGGAGACAGACTTATCAAGGGGAAGTTGCCTCCAAACCTAACTCTCTAATCATTCAATTCGTGTTTCGTCATTCATGCAGGCAAGGGTAAAAGTCAAAACCAAAAGCAAAAAGTGAATAATGTCCAAAAAGAAATACCAATAAAGTGGTACCCTTAGAAATTTTTCAACAGAACACACATTTCGCATTACAAACAGTTTGCATTTATTGGTTCACAATACCACTTAACTCTATTTTACTTCAAGCAAACTTACCTCTCTTCATTGGCTTAACTTCCTAAATAATTTATCGTTAAAACTGGAACTTGAATTACATACTTTTAGGATTTTTAATTTATAATTTAATTTTTTCTAGATTTATTTTTATATATTTTAATATTAATGTTAGCAAAAAAAAATTAATATAGCAAAGATAGCAGCTTGGCACTCAGCTTTGCCTACATGGGCGCCATCTATATACAGTCAAAAGTCGTTAATTCGGAAACCCATAATACGGAATGATCTATAATCCGGACCTCAAAGCTACAAACTTTCTGCGCATGCGTCGCGTTTCACACATGCGCACAGGCGTTTACGAGAGCGCGTAAGACCCTTACGGCTGCGAATATGTTTGTGCGCATGCGCGTTTAATGTGTAACGGAGTTATACGCTAAGCTAAAGTTATCTAATTCAGTTAATGTTGCAGATTGCATTGTTCCTTAATCTTCGAATTGGAGCCGGCTTATTATTTTTTGCAGACTGTTAGAGCAATTTTATAAAAGTAAGCTTGAACTTTCGATTATGTCAAATAGAATTTCCGATATATATTTACTACAAAGCGAAAGTATGTTTTGAAATCCGAAATCTGTTTATCAATTTCACGCTGCTCTGCCGCAGAAGGGGGGGCAGAAACGTCATTATTAGATTATGATAGATTAGAAAGATTATGTCAAATAGAATTTTCAATATATATTTACTAATATGTAATTTGTATCTACAAAGCGAAAGTATGTTTTGGAATCCGAAATCTGTTTATCAATTTCATGCCGTGGATTGGAAGTTCATCTGTCAACACTATTCTTATCTTCAGAGCAGATGTTTTTATTTTATTCGGATTATAATTCCGTACTAAGTTTAGTATTTCATCTCGATGTACTCCGTCTTTGATATGATTTAAATCAAGTTCCTCGTCATTATAATTCGTTTCAGATAGTGAAGAAAGTGACCCAGAGGTTATTGAAAACGAAAACATTTCGATTGACAAATTAGTCGGTATTCTCAACACAACAACCTTACAACGTCAAAGCAATTATAGGACTTGAACAGCGGAACTTTGTAACTCAACAAGAAATTATGTCTGTTTAATAGAATTAAAGAGAAAGTATTATCACATGAAACGAAGCAACTTACATTGAAGGAAATGTTTAATAAAGTAAACAAATAAATATTAAGCTTTTTCTTTTTGTAAATTTTGATACCCTTTAGATCATAATTGTTCTTTATTTCATAAATTACGGTTTCATATTTTTAATTTTGTAATTTTTGCATGCCATCTTACCAGATTTAAACTGATGATCTATAATCCGGAAAAATCGATAATCCGGAATCGCCGAAGTCCCGACGAGTCCGGATTAACGACTTTTGACTGTAATTAATTTGAAGAACACACTTACTTCTCTTTAAAAACACTTTTGCAGACCCCAGCGCTCATTTGGTAGGTAAGTTGGAAATAAAACTTGCTGTTTGCTTGCTTTGAGTATTTTTTAAAATTTTTTATGTAGTGTTAAGGTATTTTCTGGATATGAAATTAAGTTTTTGGGATATATATATATATATATATATATTTTTTTTTTTTGAAATTGTGAATTAGTTCTTATGTTTCTTGTTGGTTATAGGACTGTGTCTAGTTCTTTTTTGGTTTCTTTTTATTGATATGCATATTCGTGTCGGGGAGGTTTCTGTAGACAATGGTTTCTAAAATACATTAGTATCTAGATTAATTTTTATAAAAAATTTAGTTTTTTTAAAAAAAGTTTAATTTAATACTTGACTTTACTTGCTTGTTTCTCAAAAGACTTCATTAGTATTTTCCTTTTAAAACTTTAATTCTTAAATGCTAATGTCTAGGGGTGCCACTTTATTGGTATTTCTTTTTGGACAGTATTCACTTTTTGCTTTTGGTTTTGACTTTTACCCTTGCCTGCATGAATGACGAAACACGAACTGAATGATTGGAGAGTTAGGTTTGGAGGCAACTTCCCCTTGATAAGTCTGTCTCCTGCCTGCTCAACAGTCATTCACTTATGCATTTTTAAAATTTTAATTTTAATTTGCTAAATTAGTGAATTTATTTTCATGGATTGGTTTTGCACTTGATTTGCTTATGCTTCTGAATTTAAATGATATTATAGATTAGTTCGAGAATTAAATCTTTTAAATCTTTATATGTTAAACATTTTTAAATTTTTTATTTATTATTTATTTATTTTTGGCT